GATGCATAGGTAAATACATGCAATTGGTTGGATTGCTGTACTCACATTAAGACGTTTACATGTAATCATATTCCATGATGCAAATAAATTGGTCTATAAATCGATACAGCCGCTCTCGGTAATTAACAGGTGTTCCTGTGATAGTAAACAAGAACACATTATAGATATAGTAAGATTTAAAAAAATGCTTTACATGATAGGCTTAAATATGGGTAAATGTACTAGCTTCGTTAAAGTATATGCATATTAATTCTAGTGCTAGGGTGTACTTTTGTTATCAATGTAAAGTCTCTGAGATGGCTAGCACGTTTATATTGATAGTGCTGAAATCTGGTGCATTATCAACACTGTGTACAACATAAAGTCTTGTTTCATTGTCACAGTGTATCCAAAGCACGCTGTCATATATCTTGATTGCATCTTTCAGGGATAAATGTGGTGCTGCAGCCACAGCTGGATTCTTTAGAATACTGTCTTTGTTGAAACCTAAAAACACTAAAGTTTGTGGAGTGATGACAATGGTAAGAAACAGTGTTGGCGCAGGTAAGACAGAACACATTAAATTGATAACAATACTGTACGACTTGAAACAAATCGATTATTTTACTGGTTGATTTTGTTTCCATAGTTTTTAAACGTTTCTCAATTCATACAGTTTACAATATTATAAACGCTCTAACCTATAGTTAACTTAGATTTTGACGCTTAGGACGACAGACCAGTTTAGTTTATCTAAAACTATTTCTGTGACCTATACTTGAAAATTTTTATTATTACTATTTATTAATTATCATTATTCAGATGTTCGTAAGTTTATAGTGAAAATATGTGTATTATATTAGTCTGAAACTATATTTCACAACCGGGGCCAATGGTTGTCTTTATTCATGTAGACTCGTACGTTGCTGATGAGATAATCACCTCCCTTGCTGGTGTAAGAGTTAGGATTGGTAATACTGATGCAGAAGGTCGCATGGCAATGGGTGATCCATTGTGTAAGATAAAAGACCAGGTAAAGATATTCCGTAAATACTATATAAACCACATAATTGCTTACAAATTAATTTCACCTTTGATTATACTGATTATTACCTCTCGAAAAAAGCTGTCACTATTATACGTACAAGATCGTTTGCGTTTGAATCTGACATTCAAATTAAAACAGTCAGTAATATTGTCGTCTCCACACAATTTAACCAGTATGTTAAATTACACAGGCCAAGAATGAAATCAACCCACATATCTATACCATTGCTACCCTGACTGGACATGCAATTAGAACTGCCGGAGCTGCTTATTCGGTACGTATGACAAGCTATTCTCACAAACTTGACAAATTTACAGATATGATTTCAGCTTATACATATTTGAATGCACTTACTTTGTTTTCTTTTAATCCAGATTGTGTTGGACAACGGGCCAGCAAGACAGATTAAGCATGCTCAGTCTCTGCAAAATGGTGAGCAATTATGGAATGAATACAATATTTGGATATTATGATAAATATACTAAATGAATTTTATATTGATACTGTGATTGTGATTTTTTGTATTGTAGCTGGTCATGATGTTGCTGATCCATTCGAGATATCAACAATTAGAAGAGAGGTAGGGCATTTACTGAATCGAATTTGAAAGAGTGCACAATTGGTTAAGCAGGCGTATTCATGGATGAAAACCATAGCAACTTAAGACATAAAACTCTATTTTGCGTTCACAGGACTTTGAATTTCACAAAGGTAAAACTGAAGCTGAAGATGTATTACAGGCTGGTACACAGCCTTCCAGTGCCACGTCTAGAGGGCATCAGAGCCCCGCTGCATTTCTCATAATGGCATCTGGTTTGGATCAGGTAATGACTAATCGCTAGATTACATTAACTAAACAAGAGATTTTCTTCCTGTATTATTTGTCTAGTTTTATTATTCTAACTCTTGTAGTAATAGTAGACTTCAATATACATGTATGGTGTTTTGCTTAACACGTCTAAATTTGTTTTTATTTTACAGCATGGTATTGATTCCAGTCAGCCTCTACCATACTCACATCTCGACATTGCTGGTTCATCTGGTCTCTATCCAGATACCGTTGTGACTGGTGCTCCCATTGTGGCTCTAACAGCCAAATACGTCTTACCAATGATGTAGGCAGTCTAGTCTTGCAATTCGAGCCTTTCAACTCCATCTCTTTTACCCAAATCGAGATATACTGTATCACAGTCAATTCAAGTTGAGCCATTGCAGCTTTATTTTAGTATGTATTTTGTGAAATTCTTTTTCTTGGCATTCTATCTACATGATATCTTTTTTTTTCTTGTTTATTTTTTTCCCTATTCAATACACCAGATTCTATTTTCTAAACGTGTTGATTCAAGCATATTCTTTTTAATCACAGTTTTGTATTTAGTATAACACTTTTACGCTTAACTTGACAATCTTTCTGAGTTTTATATAGAAGGTCATTCAATGTATACTAGTATTCTGCAGGTCAGTTTTGAGGGTTGAACTCAAGTTGGTGTTTCTGACTCGTACGTGTTTCAACAACCCTTCACGGGTTTGGTTAAGATACTCGGTATGTGTCGTATCTGCTGGTATACAAATAATATCACGTTCTATTATAGTAAACTTCGCGCATTAAATTTGTTTTTGTCAACTTGAAAACAGTTAAATCATCGCATGGTAACACTTGTACATGCAAACTTTCGTTTCTCGTTTTCAGTGACTTTAATATATCATGAACATTTACACTCACATTTAATGGATTAACTACAACTTCAAAATCAATGTATCGTGAATTAGACAGCATTATTATCAGTAGAATTAT